CTTATTAAATATCAAAAGCTGTCAATAGTTTTTCTCCAGAGTAAAATAGAAGCTGTATTAGAATCTATTAAGTTTGCTTAGTTCAGCTAGTGCTGTAAGCTAGAAAAGAACTGTATATTTTATTATAACTGTTTCATTCTTTCATCTATTTTTAGGTTTGCCTAGAATATATACATATCTCATATATATAAGATACAGCATCTGGAAACAGAAGTGAGATTCTTGCCAAGCTGATTAACCAATGAGACCGAAATCGTTTCAGGTCTTAGGAGGCCTACTGATACTTCTGTAAAACCAGTTTGTAGCTGTACCCATATGTAACTGTGTATGTGAGTCACATGAGAAGGGGATATGTGGTTCCATCCTTGTTTTTTCTTTAAATTGTAATTTAGCCTGTGTTCACATGTAGAGATGAATTGCAGCAGACTCAATTTCAGAAAGTTCATTTGGTATAGAACAAGAACTGTATCTCTGTGTTTGCTTATATTTCTAACAGTAAGCTCACAGTGGTTCACTGCTGTTTGTTTTGCCTATTTTTTTAATAGTATTCTTAATTATTGAACAAAGCCTACCTCGTGTTTGTATATGTAACACATCAAAAGATCTTTGAGCAGTATGTAGTGCCCCTGCTTTAAACACTCAGCACGTAAGTCCAGATTTCAACGTTTGGTGTAATCCTCTAGCTCACCAGGGCAGTTTGTTAAATATTTCAGTTTCCTCTCAATGGACTCATTAATTTGGTTCATTCTGAGAGGTAAGCCTAAAGTCATCTTACATGTGCTTTGTAACTGTTCTGAAATTTCTCTATGCCTATAGAAATGTAACAGGACATATTTGTGAATTACTCCTAGCATAGTGAGATATAGAACTGTATGATAGGATATGTGTGACTTTCACTTTTTCTGTAGCTCTGTGAGAAGTTATAGGAAAATGTAGGTTTGGCTTGTGTACCTAACAAATGATAAAGACTATAGAGTAACAGTAGATTTTAATGTGATCTCCCTCCAGACAATGTTATCCATAAAAAGCACATACTGACTTTTATAGAATATGTTTCTATCATTCAAAGTATATGCCTTAGGTTGAATTAATGAGCTGGAGTCCAGTCAGAAATTTATACATCATTTTACTACCAAAAACATACCTACAGTGATACCTCTAGCAAGATACAACCAGCCTTCAGCCTTCCACACACTGTTGGAAGCCTCGTTTTAATGGAAAGCCTCAGGAAAACTGACCCTTCTCCCAGAAACTTACATGCCACATTAGGTCAAAAGACCAGCAACGGACACCTCCTGGGAGTAATTAAGAAACAGCTGTAGTTTCAGAGGTATTGCTCCAAGCCAACAGCCATTTGCAGCTATTTAAATGTAGTTTATGAGATTATGGAAAGTAGTCCCTGAAACTGTGAAACTTGTAAAAGTAACATGAACTTCATGGCCTCAGCCATGAAGCCACTGAAGCTAGTGCCAGAAAATTGTTGCCTTGTTATTTCCAGTAGCATTTAATACAGCAGGTGAGCCTTCTAGTATAAAAATGTAGTTTGCACAATAAAATACTGTTTTGTTACACAAATATAAATATATAATAAAAAAATAGTATTTAGTGTGGGTTGCTGTCTCAGAATTATAACAGAACTTATCGTTTTAACCAGCACAATCAGTGTAGTAAGATTTCTATTGCCATGTCTGATGGTTATGTATCCTATTTAGTCTGTTGCTGGCTTTATGCTTACATGGAAGAAGGAAACAAATCCAGGAATGTCCAAATCTAAACACCAGGCATCTGTAGCTCATGGTTTTCTAGAGTCTGGCAGATTTTCTGCAGCAATTATGAAAGGAGTGTAAGGAATTTGAATCTGAATTCAGCTTACAGATTTGTAATCTCTCCTGCTGACCTACACGTCTGTCTGGATCTCACATTTTAGTCTCAGATCACTTCTAAAAGTGGCTTGAGACTAAAATGTGTCCATATAACAGAGACTTTTTAGGGAAAATAGTGAAAAACCTTACATTGCACATTTAATGTGGCAACTTCATGTTTTTTTTAAGGAAAAAAAATAAATAAAAGGGAGGAAAAACAAAAGCAGCAGACAGCAGGGTCAGGTTTTGTATCTTTATTTAATTCCAGAGCAAAACGTGTATGTATCTAATAACTGCACCTTCAATACGTATAGAAAAGATCTATTCCCTACTCACTAACAAGAATAAAGAATTTTTCACAGTGATTGCTTTGAAGTGATCTGAATGATCCAGTACTGGTGTTTGTATTTCTCTTTACATCATGACTTCACTTGATGCCAGATTGCATGCTAAAACTGAAGACTGACATTGGGTACTGTAACATTTGCTGTTTGAAGTAAGGATCTGTGACTGTCTCAATTTCCTTACCACTTAACATGTTCTTTTGTCCTGCTTTGAAATGTTGGTGATTTTGAAGTGTACAGGAGTCTAGTTTTAAGGACTACAGTGTACTGTTTTCACCATATAAGACTTTCTGGATATAAACGTGAGAATGTATTTGTGAAGTATTTTTGAAACCACGTTAATGAAAACACTTTATTGCAACAAATGCTGGTGGTTTTAGTTTTTTATAGACAACATTAATGAGTGCTAAAGAATGTAGGGAAACTAAAGGAGAACTGTGGGGATGCTGAGCAAAGAGTGATAATGTATTTTTACAGTGTAAGACTCTCAAACAGATTTGACCACATTATGAAATACATCATTTCCTCATTTATAATTGAAGAGGCTGTATCAATCCTGTCAAAAATGACATACTGTCTTCGATCCCATAGATTCAAAAAGCACAATAGGCTTTGGCCTTGTAGACAGAATGTGGAAAAACAGAACCTAAAAGAAGAGTTGAAAAAAATAAGACTGAGAAAAAGAAGATCAATGAACCTCTAACCAGAAAGACTACCCCTTAAGTTCGCTAAAACCTGACGAAACCTAAACAATCGTCAAAATATGTTTCTCATGAGAAAACCATGATTAAGTGCCCTTTTGGTGAACTTTTGTCATTATAATCTCATTTTAATGATAAAAATCACACCTACAAGTCAAAAGAGTCTTGTGTATTTAGGTGCTCAGTTATGTGATCCTCATGCAAACTAGGTGACCTGTCGGTAAAAGGTGGGAGGGTTACAGGGAGCTGCTAATTTGAATTAAATCATATAAACATGCAGAATACAGGGTGCAGAGAAATGAGGGAAGAGTCAATCATAACTGATGGGACTGGTCAATTGGCTGAACCCGTCTTCTTCCCCCACAGGAATGCCTACTGGATAAGAGCTGTACTCTGTGCGCACTTAATGATTTTTATCTGGCTTTACATATTATTTTCATGCTTGTTCTCGCAGTTAGTGTATTGTCACTGCAATCTGCAAAGCTTAAACTATCATGAAAGTATATAATAAAAGTTCTCAGTTAAGATCTATTTTGTGTGAGTTTCTAGAGACCCAAATAGACTTAAAATTGGCTCAAAAACTTACTTCAAAATTTTTTTAAACTTGTGGGTGAACCAGCTGCTATGTACTTGGACAGGATGGCTGAGTTCAGGCTCTGGTACAGCGTGCTGTTTGGTGGGGCACCTGCAGAGATAAGGCCCCAGGGTCTCATCTGTCCTGGGCAATAACAAACTCATCAAATTTACATGTGAAGGGGTGAAATCTTCCTCCTTATGGCCAGGGGTGTAAATCCCTTACTGGAATAAAGGCCCCCTTAACATAAGTAAGACAGTTTTAAAACAATCTGAATGTAAATCTGGATTTCGAGATGAAGGTTTCACTAGAGAGAGAGACTGGTAATATTCAATTTCAGTTTTACGTACCTTGTTCACAGATTACAAACTCACTCTTCTGAATTTTTAATCTTTTGGTTTATTTAATCATTTTTATCTCCATGGGATCAAAACAGCACCCAAAAAGAGATAAAACCAACATAAAAATTAGACAGTAAAACATCTGCACAAAAAACATGATTTATGTACACACATGGGAATATCCTGGAGACTTGATTAGGTCAAGAACTATCTTCTACAACTGGAGCCTGTTTCAAGGTATCTTAAGATCTTTAAGGAACCCTTACTTATTTTTTAGGAAAGGGACATGCTTGGCCGTCTAAACTGCTTGACTTGAAAAGCCTGGCTGGCATTCAAGAATTTCACTGGTCTATTCTCTGACAGATGTTTGTATTACAGCAAGCAAGCTGAACACACACAACAATGTATTTTCTAATGTCTTAATTGACTGTGGTCTTAATTCTTGGAAAGCAACCACCAAAAAAATGGAAAATGTAATCAGTGTAAAGACTAGACTTGTCTCAAACATTTACGGAGCTTGTTCCAAACACTGAAGCAGAACATTTGAGCTGTGGGCACATGCAACCTTGTATTATTATGCTCCTTAAGGCGATCTTCAAAATACACTCTTCCCCTGCCTCCCTTTAAACCACTCAATTTTCACAGTTTCGTCAGCCATGGTGGGGACATTTCAAAGAGTGGAAAAACTAAGCACCATAATCCTGCCCATGTTTATTCCATTTTCCAAGTCACTGCCAAGTGGTTCCCAAAAGACAAAAGAACAGTACTGCACCAGCTCAGTACTTAATAAAAATATACTTAATAAAGTACTTAATAAAAAGCTTTATTCCACCATGTAATTTCTATCCACATCACATTGCTACTGAAAGACACGACGGGTAGTCTTAAGAGACGTACTGACCACGCTCGGGTTTCCTCTCACCGCCGCTGTAATCACACAAGAGTAATGACTACACTTAAGAATATGGCTCCCCTTTCCCTCAGGAAGAAACGGCTTTACTGAACACCTGAATACGAGAAAAACGCTTGGCAGACGTTTCACGCGACTAAATCACACCTGCATCGTTTCCAGTAACAGCTCCACCCGGTGCTCTCCAGGATTTTATTTGTGCTGGGAACTCAGCAAACTGTGCTCGAGAAGACGGAGGTAGGCCCGCTGCTCCAGCTGGCTGCGGAGCACGGGGAGGGGAACGGAAACAGGACCTGGAACGAGAACGAGACCTTTCCTCTCAGAGGCCCGCCCGTTACAGAGCTCCGGCCTGAGTGTACTCAAACGCGAAGCGCCTTTCCCTTACCGCTGGCTGCAGAATAGCGCCATCCCCTTCTGCGCGGTGCTTGACGGCATGCTGTATTAGCACTGTCGCACGGCAGCTGCCAATAGCGAGCCGCGCTCGCCGGAGGCGGCCGCAAAGCGCGGGCGAGGCGGCACGTGTGAGGTGAATGGGAAGGCCGGCGGTGGGTGGCGTGGAGCGGCGCGGGCGGTGGGGGTGTCCGTCGGAGCGTCCCCCGCGGGTGCGGGCCAGCGGCTTCCTCTGGCGCTGTCACCACGCTGGCCTGACTTGGTCTGGCACTCGGGGTCCCTGAGGAGCGGGGTCGGCCAGGCACGTGCTCCGCGGCCTTGCCTAGTTGAGCCTCCGTGGTTTGTTTCCTCACCGTCCGCCTAGGGACGGTCAGCGGCTGTTGAGAAGGGTTTAACTCCGCCAGATGTGTTAACCGGTGTTCCAAGAAATGCGGGCTGTCTTTTCCTCACGCTGTTGGCAAGGGAGCCACGGTGGTCCAGTAATGCTGTCTCTTGCGTCCTTTGCAGTGCTGCCACAATGGAAACCAAGGATAAAAGGAAGTTTGTGGGGAAGAGTGGAAAAGGGCCTTATGGGAAAGCACCACATGGGAAGAGGAAATTTAAAAAAGATAATGGTAAGAAGACAAGTTTTCCTAACAGGAGCCCCTTCTGAGTCGCTGGTGTTGTGCTCAGGCATGCTTGAACTTAACTTTTTCATCTTGGTAAACTTCTGAAGTGGTGAACTTTGTAGATGAGGTTGGAGAAGTGAATGTTGTCTGTCTGGGCTTCAGTAAAGCTTTTGACAATGTCTCCCATAAAGTCCTTGCAGAGGGGCTGACAGATTATGGGCTGGATGAGCACATGGTGTGGTAGATTGAAAACTGGCAGAATGGTTGGGCCCAGAAATTGGTTATAAGTGGCACGGAATCTAGTTGAAGGCCGATAACTAGCAGTGTACCCAAGGAGTCAGTACTAGGCCTAGTTCTGTTCAACCACTTCACTGATGATCTGGATTATGGGGCAGAGTGTACTATTACAAGTTTACTGGTGACAGAGCTGGGGGGAGTGGCAGGTGCACCAGGAGTCATGCTGCTCTTCAGAGAGGCCTCAGCAGCAGGGGGGAAACGGGCTGACAGAAGCCTTGTGAAGTTCATTAAGGAATGAAGGGCGAAGTCCTGCACCTGAGGCAGGAGCAACCCCACACACCAGTACGTGTCAGGGGAAAGCTTTGCAGAAAAGGCCCTGGGGCTCCTGGTGATCACAAAGTTGGACATGAGCCAGCAGTGTGGCCTTGTGTCAAAGGTGCCAAATTGGATCGTGGGCTACATTAGGAAGAGTGTTGCCAAAAGGTCAAGGGAAGTGATCCTTGCTGTTTCCTCAGCAGTGGTGAGGCCACACCTGGTGTGCTGTTTCCAGTTCTGGGCTACTCAGTACAAGTGAGACATAGCATATTAGAGAGAGCCCATGGAAGGGCCACATACATGATGAAAGGTCTGGAGCACCTCTTTTGTGAGGAGAGGCTGATGTTGTTAGGGCAGTTGAGACTGCAGAAGAGAAGGCTGATAGGGATCTTGTCACTGTATACAAATACCTGAATGGGGTGTGCAAAGACAGCCAGGACCAGAGGCACAAATTGAAACACAGGAGGTTCCTGCTGAATATCAGGAAAGATGTCTTTACTATGAGAGTAACTGAGCACTGCTCAGGGTGGAGTCTTCCACCTTGAACATAGTCAAAAGCCGCTCGTGGCCCTCTGTGAGCAGGAGGGTTGGACCAGATGACCTCCAAAAGCCCCTTCCAACTTCAGTCATCTATGATTCTGTCTTGCATTTAAAACTGTACTGACTGTATGATCAAATAACCTGGAAAAAGTGAGGCTGAAATGCTTTAAATAAACTGCACTGGAAGCCCTTCAGCTCTATTTCATTCACCTAAAATACTTAATTAGAATTTTAAAGTTGATATTTTTTGATTCTACAGTTTAATCTCCTACAGTAAGTAAAAGTTTGACAGTTGAAGCTAGGGTGTGTGAAGTGCTGTGGGTTAGAGTTGAGAATATACCTTTTAGTGTTTTTTTTTCTTCTGCTTTAGATGACGTCAAAAGAGCTCTGGCCATAAACTGTGGAGAGATGATTTGGGGATTGATGACCTTGGTGTCAGGGGTGATGAAATTCTTAATTAGGATAATCCTTTTATGTCTGGGCAGTTGTACTGCTGCCCAGAAAATAATACCCGGGCAGAACTTCCTTAGGGGAAAGTGGAACACCTAGGGACTGCCATGAAAACATCAGCTTTGAGAAGCATATGAGAATTATTGTTACGTGTATAATTGTTGCTACAAAGAAGTTAAATTCTTGTTACAGCAGTTATTTGTTACTTTGAAGCAACATTAGCTCTGTGATAGCATTTTAATTTCTTTTCCGTTGGGTTATAGATTCAGGTCCACCAAAGAAACTCCTCAAGAAAGGAGATGGGGAGGGAAAGCCTAAATCAATTTCCAAGAAATTTGTGAAAGGACATTTAAGACCTGGAAGAGCTACTGTCAAACAGTTCAAGAATAAACAGCAATCAGAAAAGTTTGCAAAGAAGAGGAAGCTCCAGGATGGAGAAGAGGGAGGTGAGTGGATTTTTAAGCCTGAATGTCAATGGCAACTAGGTTTTGGGAAACATGTTCATTCAGGTGCTCCTGTCTTCCTCTTTCCCCTTGCCTTGTTATCACCTTTCCAAATTGGCAGAATGACTGCAAGTTTACTTCATGTTTAATCTTTGCTGTGGAAAATGTTCTTCACCGGACTAAGCTTGAGTAATGAGAATGAACAGTTACGCATTTTCTTTGAAGTCAAAAGTAAAGATGCAGTAGCAAATTTAAATAATCAGCATACCATCATGAAGCTATGAGTATTTTAAAGACAATAGTAAGTGGCTAGCTTGAAACTGACTGCTTTCGCATAAATTTGGAAAATACAGAGCATTTCACAGGTTTAGAAATTTAATCCTCTGTTCTGGCTATAAAATTTGGAACACAAAAATTCATGAGTCAGAGTTGGCTATTCCTTAGATTACATTATTTTTTTTTTTCTTGTGGTGCAAGCTAGTCAGTTCTTTGTTTTTTTTTTGTTTTACAAAGACATTATTAGCGTTGTGACTGCTTTTTGTGTTTTTACTGCTTATTTTTGTGTTTACACAGAGACGCTAAATAAATGTCTGGTTTTACCATTTCTTTAAATGGGTTTCTTTTTTAACTTTGCTTCTGGTGCATGAGAACTTCATGTTGTTCCTTACTTTGTTGTGAAGCAAAGTTCTACTAGGACAGTGAAACAGAAGTGGCATCTTATGTGAAGTTCTGCAGAAAACCATTAGTTGTTTGAAAGTCAGTAGAAGGTATTGAGTATTTTGCTGTTGTGTTCTTCAGAATGGCTTCACATGGACTGTGCAGTAGATGCCTGGAAACTTAATAGGAACAGAATGTTCATATTAAGCTGCTTTTAAAAAAAAAGTCAACCCCCCCCCCAAAAAAAAACCCAAACACAACAACAAACAAATGAACAAAAAAAAAAAAAAAAAAAAAAACCAAACCACAAACAAACCTTTAAATGTTGTTTGTAAGAATAACGGAAAGGTGCTTGATATTGCATGGTGGCTCTGATCTCAAAGTGTTACTGGTTTTGCTTGTCGCTATTATTTTAGGAGAGTAACAGAAAAAAATAATATACTTTGTAAAAAGAGACAGTGGGTTTTGGCTGGGTAAAATAGTTAAGTGTATGCTGCTAAATGCCAACAAGCGGTGCTTTAAGGTCTAGAAATTTTATGCTGGGTCTTTAATGTTATAGAATAATAGAATCAAAGATTAGTTAGGGTTTGAAAGGACCGTAAGACCATCTAGTTCCAACCCCTCTGCCATGGGCAGGGACACCTCACACTAACCATGCCACCCAAGGCTCTGTCCAACCTGTCCTTGAACACTGCCAGGGATGGAGCATTCACAACTTCCTTGGGCAACCCCTTCCACTGCCTCACCACCCTAACAGTAAAGAACTTCCTCCTTATATCCAATCTAAACTTCCCCTGTTTAATTTTAACCTGTTACTCCTTGACCTATCACTACAGTCCCTGATGAAGAGTCCCTTCCCAACATCCTTGTAGGCCCCCTTCAGATACTGGAAGGCTGCTATGAGATCTCCACGCAGCCTTCTCTTCTCCAGGCTGAACAGCTCCATCTTTCTCTGCCTGTCTTCATACGGGAGGTGCTCCAGTCCCCTGATCATTCTCATGGCCCTCCTCTGGACTTGTTCCAACAGATCCATATCTTTTTTATGTTGAGGACACCAGAACTGCACACAATACTCCAAGTGAGGTCCCACAAGAGCAGAGTAGAGGGACAGGATCACCTCCTTCGACCTGCTGGTCACACTCCTTTTGATGCAGCCCAGGATACAGTTGGCTTTCTGGGTTGCGAGTGCACACTGAAGCCAGCTCATGTTAAGTTTATCATCAAACAACACCGCTAAGTCCTTCTCCGCAGGGCTGCTCTGAATCTCTTCTCTGCCCAACCTGTAGCTGTGCCTGGGATTGCTCCGACCCAGGTGTAGGACCTTGCACTTGGAATGGTTTAACTTTATGAGGTTGGCATCAGCCCACCTCACAGGCGTGTCAAGGTCCCTCTGGATGGCATTCCTTCCCTCCAGCGTATCAACCGAACCACACAGCTTGGTGTCATCGGCAAACTTGCTGAGGGCGCACTCAATCCCACTGTCCATGTTACCAACAGAGATGTTGAAGAAGACTAGTCCCAACACCGATCCCTGAAGGATTCCACTCGTTACTGGTCTCCAGCTGGACACTGAGCCATTGACCAGAACTCTTTGCATGTGGCCACCAGCCAGTTTCAGCCTGCCAGCCATGTTGCACGTAGAAGTAATAGTTTGCATGCATGACTTGGTTCTGTGAAACCGTGTCATACAAAATTATGTTTCTTGTGAAGGAATGACTGAATCGAAGATCAGATACTTGATGATTTTCCATAACTCATTTGTGGCACTTTACGGCACGTTATGAATTTGTTGAGTGTATAGCTGTTGTATAGTAAACCCCATGCTTAAGGAATCTGAAAGCAAAGATTAACCATGTTAAAAGACTTCAATTTTTTTCCTCTCTGAGATTTCAGAGATGTATCTTTGAGTTAAGGCTCTTATTTCAAGGGAGAGAAAAGGTATGTGTAAGTACAGCTTGAACTAAAAAGCTAGGTGCATCCTTAAGTCAATTTTCAAGCTATTAAGAGGTTTGCAGTGTGTTTTTGACAAAACTTTGAGAAAAATTCTTGTTTTCCTGGTTCTTTCAGTAGTATAGAATTGGAATTTACTAGCTTAGCATATGTATTAAATGTTTACACTTTCACATTAGGTAGCTTGGTAACTTAGGATGAAGCTCCTGAATTGTTAACAATTCAAGTCACAGAGCTGCCATAGTTTATACTGGTAAAAAGTTCCATTCCTCCTGTTTTACTGACTATAAAATCATCTATTTTTGTCTTCAGGGTTGGATACTAAGAAGCCAAAGTGGAATGACTTCAAAAAGAAAAGGAAGGAATTAAAGCAAACCAGACAACTTAATGATAAAAGTAACTATGACATAATTGTGAAATCGAAGCAAATATGGGAAAGTGTGAGAAGGTAATAATTATTCTTTTTTGCTTCAGTTAGCTTTTAGTCATGAGTGTCTGCAAGACTCTGTATCTCTTGTTACAATTATATGAAAATGTATTTCCACAGTGAAATTCCATGCGAGTGATAACTTTACATGTAATTCTGTAGATGGTTTAAGCAGGGTGTGGTGACCGATGGTTCTAGAAGTGTCTGGGTTAAGCTCACATATTAGGTTAAAATTTGTGAGTAAGTGCTTAAGGAGTTGTATTATATTTTGAACCCTGAGGCACAGATCATGTATTGATCCAGCCTGATCTTGCAGTGGGATCACTGCATGAGGGTTGGTTTTGGGTTTTTTTGAGGTTTGTATGCTGTCTCTAGGCAGGTGTAATTCTAGAACCTGGGACCGCACCTCAGAATGAGGAGATAATTTTACTTGTCTGTGCTTTGCATTTTCGGCTGTAAGATGCTTACAGTTCCTTGGATCTGTGAGCAGCTCTGGGTGCAGGTTTGAGTTTATGTTCTTTTTAATAATATTGTTACTCAGAAAAGAATAATCTTAAAGTGTGGAAATCTGGTTTGGTTTCTAGGAACTGAAAGTGCTTAATTACATCTGTCTACAGGTTTAGTGAATGATAATGTGAATTTGGTGTAGCAGGAGCTAGCTTTATTTTGTACTGTCTTAAATTATATCTGTAAGTGGATCATACTACAGAAAAAGTTTTGCTTTGCTTGTAGGAAGAAGTGTGATAAGGAGAAGCGAGAAAAGCTCATGAATGAACTACAGAAGCTTCTTCATGGAAAAATTAAAAGTGTAAGAAAAACTAATGGTGTAGTGCACAAATTCGTAAAAGCTTCTTTAAAGAAGGGTGAAATACTAAAATGAACTTTTAATTATATAGTACTAACCTGTTCTTCCAAAAGTTACAGGGATTTTTTTTTTTCAAACTTTGAGTAAAAGGGAAAAATAGTCTTTCTAGTTAATTCTTTAAATGCATAAATTTGCAGTGAAATACATATTTGATTTTATAGGGATTCATGGTATTCCATAATGAAGTGGAATTGCATTGTCACAGTCACTCTGAAATTACCAATAACATGAGGAAAAACAAGATACCATGTCATGGTACTCTTTCAGTATTAAAACCTGAATGCATGTCCTTAATTGTCAGCAACTGGAAGTATTGTCTATATTTGGTTTGATAGAGTACTTACAAAGTAGTAAAAACCCCTGAAAACTTAATTCATTATAAACAGCTACTTTTTTCATTGGCGTTACATTGCAACATGTGGCATGAAACTATACCAGACAGCAAGTGTGTTAAAATAAATTTGTTGCATAATGCCATTTTAATGGCCTAGGATAATGAAGTGTCTCTGTCCTGTAGCTGGCGTTTGCACATGATTCAACTCGAGTGATCCAGTGCTTTATTCAGTATGGTAATGAAAAGCAAAGGCAAGAGACATTTGAAGAACTGAAAGGTATTTTCTTCCCATTTACAGTTTACCTGTATGCTTATTAGGTTGCATTTAAAAAAGCGATATTATTTTCTCTTGAATATCTTTTAACTTTCTGCTAAACTGATGGACTGTATAGTGAGTTTTTAAAACTTTATTTAAACTATTGCATTTTGTTTTGTAGAGTTAATGTAGTACAAAATCAAATGAGCTATTTTTCCCCCTTCTTCTAGATAGCTTAGTAGAGTTGAGCAAGTCAAAATATTCCAGAAATATTGTGAAGAAGTTCCTTATGTATGGGTGAGTATGAAATGAATTTGCTTAGCTGTATTGCATTGTTTCATTTCCAGTGATTGCAGATTGGTTGGATTCATTCCAGTGCTTCTCTTAATCTGTATAATCTCAAGAACAAAAAATTATGTTTCTGGAAGCATCTTTGTAATGGTGATGAGGCAGAAGAGTGTCAGTTATTCCTAACGGTAGTTTTCCTTTTGTAAGAAAGTAAAGCTAAAGCTGTATATATTGAGGAAAACATATGCCAAAAGAGATTCAAATATATGCACAAAGTTAATCTTTCTCTCATAAAAAAAAAAAATATATAAAAATTTTTCTCTGTTTAGCATTTCAGGAAAGCATCCTTCATTCTGTAGGATTTATCCACTGGTTTCTTTTTCCCTCAAAATGCCTTATGATTTCTATGGCAAGAAAGCCAGAGATTCATGGCTTTCTTTCCATATTTTTGTAAATGCCAGAAAGGTGATCCAGAAACATTTATTTCCTGGTTTCTGTTCCAATTCATACCACCTAAATGTCCTTCCAGAAATGAAACTATTGATAGGTTAGCTTATCCCTAAAGTTTTAACTCTTGGTATCTATTTTTCCTTGTGAGACAGGACAAAACCACAAGTTGCAGAAATAATAAAAAGTTTTAAAGGCCATGTGAAAAAAATGCTCCGTCATGCTGAAGCTTCTGCTATCGTGGAATATGCATATAATGACAAAGCCATTCTGGAGCAGAGGAATATGCTGACAGAAGAGCTATATGGGAATACTTTCCAGGTTTACAAGGTGATGTTTAAATACTTTCTAGTCTAAGGTGTTCTAGCATCTAAGGTACTGTATACTATTTCTTCTAATTAAATTTCTCTTTCAGCTCTTCAAGTATGGTCTAGTTTAGCATGTTTAAATGTTACAATTGCTTGCATGTTTCTAGTCTAGATTAAATTGTCGTGTTTTTCAGTTTGAACTATGTAAAACATTTTTTGTTGGAGACATAAATAGTTTTATTTGCTACCAAGTACAAAGCTGTTTTATGCAACAGTTAACTACACTAGAGAGACTTCTGCAACCTGATGTACAACACAGCAGGCTTTTACCCAAAATTTATGTTAAAAATGTATAAGAAATTAACGGCTCATTTCTGAATTATATTCCTGCTGTTTACTGTATTATACATTTAGCAACATGTTTGCTCTGATTGTGGGCTGTAATTTGCTCAGATCGTGGGCTGTAATTTGTACTGGGAGTAAAACAGCCTCAGAAATCAAGTGCAGTGTTATCTTCCATCATTCTAGCATTCTTGGCATGAGTTTTTCAAGTAGTTTTAGGTTTTGGTGCAGATGTGAGGCTCAGCAATATGTGGGTTTGTAGGAAATTACAGTGTAACCCTTAAAGAGACCTGGAATTTTGTGGAGTTTTGAAATGGGTGATTTAATTTTCATCCTCCTGCCTCCAAATTCCTACCTTTTCCACCCCTGGCAGGGATGGTTACAGATACATTTCTTCTATCGACTCAGCCTATTCTAATAGCAACAGATTGTTTTAAGAAGAGTTACAAGTGTATATAGCTAGATAACAGGAAGTACTTCTGTTTTTAAGGTATATGTTATAAATTCCTTCTCTCTGCTGTTCTTGACCTGGAATTTTCTGGGCCTTGTTAAACTTCTCAGTTAATTCATTTGTTGTTCTCTGACTTACATGTACTGTTGTGCAGGATTTCTGCTTAGCTTAGGAGTCCCTTCACAGAATGTTAATTTTGCGTGTTTTACCTTATATGTGACAGTCTCGTGAAGAGCTGACTGTGGCAACAACCAGTTCAGACCATAAAAGTAGCTTTTGTTTGCTAATAATGGATATTCAGTTTGTAGAAAGAAGTATATAGCTTCTGACATACTCAAAGTAGACTGGCTTTGTATTTTTGAAATTGTAAAAATTGTTAGCTTTGCAGAAAAGTGTTTGTGATACTGTTCATGAATTTTGATTGAAAAGGAACTAAAGATTTTAATTTTCTGTAAGCTCTGATACTTACTGGGAACAATTGCACTGGTTGTACTTTCATTTCAGACACCAGTTGTCCCAACACTGGATAAAGTGTTAGCAGCTCAGCCTGAAAAGAGAGAGGCCATCTTGGATGAAATGAAACAGATTCTTACACCAATGGCACAAAAGTAAGGAAAAAAATTGATTTAAGGAGTCTACCATAAATCAGTTTGTTTCTGCCATACAAAAAGACAGTGATAATGATACATTGCTGTGTTGTTTAGGAAATAACTGTAGTTTTGTCCAAAGCATCATGTCTTAATTTTGAACTCCACTTCTATAAACTAAAGTGTCCCCTGCCCCAGCTATTCAGCAGAAATCCTGCAGTGTGGTGTACTTCTGTGATGCAGTCATTATTAGGTAAGCTTCTCTAGTGGTCCTTAGCAGAAAATATTTTGCTAGGTTTAGAATCAATCTTCCACATACTGCAGATGCTAAACATCTAATCCAGATTGTCTGTGTGTTTTCTGTGAAATGCACTGCCAAACCTGTTTTTTAAATGCAAATGAAGTATTGTTATCTTATGTTAAAACTGTTACTTATAGGGGACATTTTGTTTATTTTCCTCTTCCCAAATACAGAGAGGCTGTGATAAAACACTCACTGGTGCATAAAGTATTTTTGGACTTTTTCACTTACGCTCTTCCAAAACAAAGATCTGTAAGTGTGTTTTGTTTGTTTTTTATGTTCTAAGTGCATGGCTGTCCTTCTGTAGTTTCTGCCTTACTTCTTGTCATGGTTTAAGCTCAGCCTGTCACTCAGAAACCACGCAGCTGTTCACTTACTCCTCCCCCTCCTACCTGCTTCCCGGAGGGATGGGGAGGAGAATCGAAAGAGTGTAATTCCCACGGGCTGAGATAAGAACAGTCCAGTAACTAAGGTATAACACAAATCACTATTGCTGCCACCAATAATAATAATGATAAGGGAAATAAGGGAAGAGAATACAACTGCTCACCACCTGCCAACCAATACCCAGCCTGACCCAGCAGTGATCTAGCCCTTCCGGGTAACTGCCCCCAGTTTTACTTCCTGGGCATGACGTGCTGTGGTATGGAACACCTCTTTGGCTAGTTTGGTCAGGTGTCCTGTCTCTCATTCCTCCTGGCTTCCCCTCCTCCCTGGCAGAGCATGAGACTCACAAAGTCCTTTGTCAGACTAAGCATTACTGAGCAGCAATTAAAACCATCAGTGTTATCAGTGCTGTTCCCAGGCTGAAAGTCAAAACCACAGCACTGCACCAGCTACTAAGAAGGAGCAAAACGACTGCTACTGCTGAACCCAGGACAGTTCTGAGCACCCTTCCTTGAATTTTCTCTCTAATAGAAACTGTCAAGGTTCAGTACATTTCTGATTTCATAGGGTAAATATGATGAACCGTGTAGCTTTCAAGGGAGAAAGCCTGTATCATTTACAGTCCTTTTGATACCATTTTTCTTGGTTCAGGGCTGTGAGAATGGTTCTGTTGAGCCAGTGATGCTCTCTGTTGTTGTGAGCAGACAAAAAAATCCTTTCAAACCTTCACCCACATGTCTGGAGCTGTCTTAGGCCTTTTCTTTCACATTTTTGCTTTATCACCTTTTCTTTCACAGGAAATGATAGAAGCTATCAGAGAGGCTGTCATCTACCTGGCACACACTCACGATGGAGCCCGAGTAGCGATGCATTGCTTATGGCATGGTACTCCCAAGGTATTGTTTGGTTTCTGTCTACCCAGTCCTCTTCATTTATTTAATAATAGAGTCCTCTTTTTATTTAATAATAAGCAGTAACTGTATAAATAATACATAATCTATATTATATAATTAAATATATGTTATATAGTTATAAATAATAATTTAATGATAGTATTTAATAATAAATAATCCTCTTTTTAGTTAATAATAGTCTAGTCTGAGACTGTGCGTATGGTTGCCCAGGTGGGTTCTTCTGCCAGTGGACATTTTGGTACAGTTAAGTATTGGAGAGCAAGGTTAAAAAGTGGTTCCACTTGACTTACTGGCAAATAAAAGCAGTAGATTTTTTTGTGAATCAAATGCTTTTGTTAGAAATCCTGTAATAGAAGCATCTCTTTTTATTTTTAGCAGAGTTCATGAAGGTGGTACATAAAGCTGTTCCATTTTAAGATTATTGGCCATTCTTTCATTCTGTAGGTTTCTTAATGCCAGTGGAATTGGCAGTGGGAAGAGGACAGTAAAAAGTTGTAATATGGAACAGTTTTGGCTATGGAATGCCAAGACTTCAAAAATGTTACAGGAACTGTATTTAGCTTCTTCTGTTGATACGGTATCCTGCAATACTTTATGTGTATTGTAGGCTGTCATCTCTTGGAAATACTGTAGTGCTGTCTTTAAAATGAGGGTGGTGAGGCACTGGCACAGGTTGCCCAGAGAAGCTGTGGCTGCCCTGTACCTGGCAGTGTTCAAGGCCAGGTTGGATGGGACTTGGAGCAGGGGGCTGGAACTCGATGATCTTTAAGGCCCCTGCCAACCCAGCCCATTCTGTCATTCTTATGAAAATAGTCTGCTTGTTAAAGAGTGCAGGAGAAAATAGGAAGTTGCTAGGCTCCAAGGGTAGTAATGGGTGTGGAGAAGGCTAAGCAGTGATTGCAAAAGCCGAAGTACAAGCACTGAGGAAACTTTCTGCCAAAAAATGTATCTTGCTAGTAAACAGGTGTTGCAACAGGCTGGATAGAGTCCTTGCTACTTAAAAGTTTTGGGCACTGTTTAATAAGTTTCTTTCCAAATGAAGAGCTGAAGTGCATTTTTGTGTAAGTAATGAACAAGGTACAGGTGAACTTGTGTGGTGGTTTGGAGGTATCTCTCTTTTTAATTTTTTTTTTTTTGTTTTTTACCTTCATCTTAGCATTTTTGCCATGTCCTGTTGGTGGGCTGGATTTGTAAACACGTACAGAACCTCACTAGGACTGAGTCTTTCGCAAGTCAACTCTTACAGGTGCTGACTAGTAGCACAAATGTGAGACTGGTAAATAGCCTTTGCTTTAGTAAGCAGATGGAAGGTTATGTTTTTGAAGGTGTAGGTAACAATTTAGTTACTCAGAATCACTGGCATTATAGGCTAATTCGAGTTTCTTGTTTCCTTTTGTATAGGACAGAAAAGTAATTGTGAAAACTATGAAGACATATATTGAAAAAATAGCAACGGTGAGCATTTATTTCATAGTGTCTGAAATACAAGCAATTTGGTAGAGGCTAATGTGATTGCACTTTGGTACTGGAAACAACTGAGGTTTTAATGAAACTAGGTTTAAAATACTGGTGATATATTAGTATAAAATATAATGAACTTAATGGAATATTTAGAGACATACCGAGAAGCTTCATTGTGGGCAGTAAATACAGTCCTTCTTTGAAGTAGCTGAGTTAATTGTAAGTCCTATATTATATATCTTTTATATATATCTTCTATTTATTTTTTTTTTGAGCCCAGCTTTACATTACGTCTTATGGCTTCATCTATCTTCATTGGTTAATTCTTCTTGGTTGGGAGTAAAACCCCACAGAAAAGGGGTTTTATACGGAAAAGGAACTGAAGTTAAGATGTGGTGGGTGGGTCCCAACATATTTGAATGTGCCATTGCCATTTGAATGTGCATATTTCTACAAGTTTTTTGTTTTGTTTTTTTAAGAAGTCAGGAAGATTAAGAATGAATTAATGCTGAAATGGCATACAATGGAAGAAGTCTGTATTTATTTTTTTTCTGAGTAATATACATGTTTTGAGACTGCAGCACCAATAGAGTAACAGTTGCAATTGGATTTCATAGTTTCAGGCAAAACTACAACTGTGAAGAAAAGCTTTTTAAACTTTTCTATGTGATTGTATTGTTCTGTTTACTGATAGTTGATGTAGTCTCAATCAGTGGTCTCCAAACCTCTGGTCATGCAACCCTGACCATGCATCTCAAATATATGTGTATTTATGTATAAATAATATACATGTATTACTGGACTAGTATACATTATAAAACATACACAGAAATAGAAATTTAAAAAAGATTATATAAAGATAGCCAGTGGTTATTTTTACATATTTATTAATGGTACAAAAAATATTTTCTTCCTGCCTCGTAATGGATTGTCTTGTGCAGCCCATTGGAGGGTGCTGTTTTAAGTAATGTTTCTCTCCATAACTTCTACCAGGATAAGTTATTTCTATATTTTATTACGTATATATTAGATAGAAATATGAGACAGTAGGCAAATAATGGCTAAAACAACTCTGGAGCACTGAAGGTCTGGCTTTGCTTAGACACAGAATCTCACTGACACATAAGTGAATTGGGTCATGCCCTTTTGCATATGTTAGAATTTACTGTCCAGTGATACAGTAGGCTTATACGTGGCTTATTGCAGAAACATGATCTCCAAAAACATGGTATGTGATTTTTCTCAGTTTTAAGGAAATACCTCGTAAATAAAATCTGTATGTAATGTTTGGCAAGGCAAATCCTATGATTTCCGTTGGTAATTATACATAGGATTAGGTTAGTAGCTTGGATGTGATAAAGCAGTATTATCTGCTTCTAATGGCAGATCAACTCAATCTACCTTTCTTTTAACAACATGCTTCTCTTAACAGGCCTTATTTTTAGTGACAGTCTAAATGTTAGGCTTCCCTCATTCTATACGATGGACAGAATTTGCATGTGGTTCATGTTGTGTAACGTTCAAAACAAACTCTCAGAAATGCTGATCCTAAGTCAGTTAGTATGTTTGTAGAACTTCACTGCATGTCATTTCTGATGTCCCATCTTTGCAGGGTGAGTTTTCTCATCTGGTCTTGCTGGCAGCATTTGATTGCATCGATGACACTAAACTTGTGAAACAGTTAATTATATCAGTAAGTAGCCAAATTTTTCCTAAACAGTGTACAAATAGTGTTGGTGTTTCTCAGTATATAGGAAGATGAAAGTAGGAATCCATCAGCTTTTTTCAAACCATTTAGTTAATTTCCCCTTTTTCTGTTTAATTATATTCGTGTGTCATGTTTATTTTTTTCCTTTCATAGAAGACCTCAGCAGTTCATATGTTCTGTTTAGTTATTTATTTGAAATTGTTTTTAAACTAGATTCAGCGCTTGCTGAAAATTACCCGTTTTGTACATGTTCATTCTGGCTAATGGATGACTGGAATTTCTTTTGGTTGGATGCTGAAACCATTAACTCAAATTAATTCTCAAAACTTGATATTTTTACTTAGTATGTTGATAATTAAATGACATTAAGGATATAAGGATGCTGGGGAAGGACACTTCATTAGGGACTGTACTGATAGGCCAAGGGGTAATGGGTTAAAACATAAACAGGGGAAGTTTAGATTGGGTATAAGGAAGAAGCCCTTTACTGTAAGGGTACTGAGGTACCGGAAAGGGTTGGCCAAGGAAGTTGTGAATGTCCATCCCTGGCGATGTTCAAGGCCAGGTTGGAAAGAGCCTTGGGGGACATTGTTTAGTGTGAGGTGTCCCTGCTCATGGCAGGAGGGTTGGAACTTGATGATCTTAAGGTTCTTTCCAACCCCAAATATTCTATGATTGTACGATTAATGTTCTGGGTAAAATCCATACAATATTTTTATCTTCTTCCAAAATGGATGCAGGTAGGTGTCTGAAACATGAGAGCACTCTATCTGTTCTGCTTTACCTACATGAAATTGCAGGATGACATTAAGGATAGTATGCTTTCTTTTGAAATGCCTCATTTCTTCACCTTCCTTCCAAAATTATTTAATAAAGTGTCTTATAATATTTAGATTATGTTTGCATTCAAATTTTATCCCTTCTAAGATGTTTTAATCTGTAAAGTGTTATAAAGTTATGTTTTCACACTGATAAAAGAGACTTGATAGTGCACAATTAGTTTTCATGCAAGCAGGATAATTCACATCAAATGTATAGGTTGTAATGTGCTTATAGGAGTACTCATGCTCTAACTTTTAGGACTGACAGGTTGAGAGGCAGTGGCAAGGAGGTAAAGATGAGGCAAATACTTTGCATGTGGACTGCCAAGTTCACCATGAAACCATGTCGCCAATGGCCTCATTTACACTTTCTCTGAACGCTTCAGGCACGGTGATTTCACCACTTCCCTGGAAGCCTGTTCCAATGCCTGATCATGCTTTCAGTGAATAATTTTTTCCTAATATCCAGTCTAAACCTTCCCTGGCACAGTTTGAAGTCCTTAACTCTTGTCCTGTCCTTGTTACTTAGGAAAAGAGACCAGCCACCTCCTCTCTTCATCCTCCTTTCAGGTAGTTGTAGAGAATGATGTAGTCCCCCCTGAGCCTTCTCCAGACTGAACAACTCCAGTTCTCTCACCTGTTCCTCATGAGGCTTGTACTCCAGACCCTTCACCAGCTTCATTTCCCTTCTCTGGACCTGGTCCAGCAACTCAGTATCTCTCTTGTAATGAGGAGCCCAGAACTGAACACATGATGAGGCTTGCTTTGAAAAATAAGAGTTCTTTCATTGGACAGTTTTGTATAAAGGGGAATTGGGTTTTGGTACCTAAGCTCAAAGATGCATCCCTAAGTCTGCCTCTCTGGTGTAGAGAGATGAAAGCATCCCTGTGTGGAAATAAATGGCTTTTGTTTCTCAGGTCTATTAGCTGTAATCACAGCTGGATTGTTTCTAGAGTCCAGTCTGCAATGTGAAAAATTCTGGGCAAGTTCCAAGCAAATAGGCCCTGACAGATCAGTGCCATCTTGGTATGAGATCATTGAGGCATTCCGGTACTATGTTACAAGCACTCTGCTTTTGGAGGGTTTATGAGTTCAGATACTGTGTTTGGCTTTAGCTGAGCTTTCAAGTTGTCATTTAAGTCCTGAATCATCTGTGATTTTCCATCATCTGAGATCAAAGATAATGGAGTATTTACTCTTTGGTCATCCTACTGCATCCATCTGGACAGAAGAGTATAGGAAAGTAAGGACGAGTGGCTTTCAGTCATACAGAATTGGCCCATACGGGTTTATTTTCAAGTCAGGAACAGGGAAAGGATGTTGGGGAAAATGTAAAAAATATCAGGTAAGATCAGCTCTTCAGATAGAGAATGAAAACTAGTAGCAGAGGATGAGGTGAAAGCATGAAGTATTGGAGCAAACACTATAGATGAATCCAACCCTGAAAATTATCTTAAAAAGCAGTTAGACTTTTAAAACAGTTATCTGTATGTCCATACTAAAATTTAGCCCTCCCTCTTTTTCCCCTCCCTCTTTCCCCCCCCTTTTTTCTCTCACTAATCAGTGACTGATGCATCTGATGTACACATTTTAAACCTGATTATTTTTTTTCCTCACTTCACCAAACTGTCATTCTGATGAGAGGTTTTTTATTTAATTTTGCAAGCAGATACAGATCTTACTCCTATTATATAGGTTTCCTTTCCTAAGCTTTGTATTTGAAAGGTCATCAGTAATTACTGTTGGCTCAAAACTTATTAATTCATTAATGTTTTGTTGCTGCTTGTTTACAGGAAATAAATGCTGCTTTACCCAATATAATAAACAACAAGTACGGAAAGAAGGTCTTGTTGTACTTGCTAAGTCCTAGAGACCCTGCACATTTTGTTCCAGAAATTATCACACTTCTGCAACAGGGAGATGGAAATGCCTATAGGTATATAACAGTTAAGATTTTTTTCCCTGGAGTCCAGAAGAGTTCATGCAACTTTCTGTCATGAAATTTAATTTCAGCTTTTTTTTATAGTATAGCTAAGTAATGTAAATATATGTAAATAATATCCAAGATTACTTAGATGTGTTAATTTATAGTCTGTATTTTTGCATTTTTTGTTTAAAATTCATTTTTAAAATTGTTATCAGCAATGTATTGGTAGTCAGCAGTTCACTCTCCTTGTAAGAGGCAAAAACTGTGATGTGTTCTTTGTTTAAACTCATACATCGAACTTGGCATAGGAAGTTTTTAATATGCATTATTGGTGTTTTGGGTTGCACAAAAGCATATCTCAATCTAGCAATAAAAATGGAAATTGTTAATTTGAATTCACTCTCTGGTATTGACATTGCTGCTTATGAGCTTTTAAAGATTTTTTTTTTAAAGCAATTTTATATGATTAGTGAGCTGTTTAAGTAAATCTCAGCTACTGAGATGTCAGAATGAATAGAAAACAATCAGGTTAAATTACTGCTAACTAAAAACTCTATGAGGTTTACCAGCAGTCAGCTTTAAACACTATACACTTTTTTGCTCTATGTGTTCTTAAAATGAGTATATGAAACATGTGTTTAATGGAGCGAAGAGTAATGTTTTATTTCGATTTTCTAATAATTTATATCTATCTCAAATAGTGTATATGTCTGATTATCTTGTTGCTTAACGTGCATACAGAGCAAGTCTTCTACGTTAATGTGGTGTCTCTTTCATCAGTAAGAAGAATACTGAACTCCGCCGTCGTGAACTCCTGGAAGCCATTTCCTCACCTCTGCTAGAATATTTGCAAGAACATACACAAGAAGTAGTCATAGACAAAGCTACCTTTGTCTTGGTTGCTGATATCTTAAGAACAGCTGCTGGTGACATCCAGCCTGCACTAGATGCAATTGCTAATTTAGCAGCAGAAGAGCTTGTTCCAGGTGGCTGTGATGGGCAGGTAAGGTAAAAGAGGACAAGCTTCCTGAAGTCTTGCACAGCTTTTGCTCATTTTGTATCACTAACATGAAGTCTGCTTACTTTTTCCTCTGTGTAACGTCAGTGAGCTGCCCTGGTAGCATTTGTGCATGAGACATGATCCATTTTCTGACATTTTTCTTTCATAGCGGTATCATTACTGCATCTGGAGAGAGAAAGGCTTGAGCCAGCATTTCATATGAGGTTAGAGCAAGGTAGTTCATGATCTTTCATCTTCAAAACTGCTTTAAACACTTCATAGGAAGGTAGCTGACAATCATGTTACACAGTCCCTTTTAATGTTACCACTATGCTTTCAAGCAGTTAGTAAATTTGTAGTTCATTTGACTGTTTACATTGAGAACAATCTCAATGAAGAGCGATCAAAGGGTCTCTTAGCTTTCAAGTGTGCCTTTCTCCATGCAAGATCTTAGATAATAACTGTTTGTCTTTGCAGCAATAGCTGTCTTTAGAATATGACCTTCTCTTCAAAGTGTGCCCCTGCCCCTTCTGTGCTTTGTTAAGCTCAGTCAGATATGCATCTGTAGACTAGAAAACAAAAAATGCTGTGTACGCTATATTTAAGATAGATGCCCTCTAGATTTTTGTAGTTGTGCTGAATTTGCCCTGGTTTTCCCCTTCTATAAGATGTGCATTTTACAGAATTTTACATGAACTAGTCGTGTTTTCTGTGATTTTCTGTGAACCGTTAATTTTCAAGTCCATGCAAATGCAGAAAGTGGATTTTCTTGCAGAGGCAGGTAGACCAATAGATACTGCTCAGTAAGCATGAGGGTATTGGAGGGGTGGATGAAACTTTGGTTGATGTGTTTTATTACTGAAAGTTAGATGTTCCAGGGAATGTGGTAAAAAAAATAAACTGGTCTATTTAAATAAATACTCAGATACTTGGATCAAACTTGTCATCATTCGCATAGTTGATGACTAAATGGATCAGTGATGAGGTGTCTGAGGGCAGAGTGGACCAAGCCAGCAGGAATTTATAGACAGACATGTAAATATGTTTTGAAATGTTCTTGTTAAATAATTTGTGTTTTGGTTCGCTTTTTTCCCTTAAAGCTTCACATTGCAGAGCATCCAGCAGGCCATCTAGTTTTGAAATGGTTAATAGAGCAAGATGAAAAAATGAGGGAGAGTGGAAAAGAAGGTATGTTGGAAATACAGCTTTATTTAATCAAATTATGACTTTCAGAGTAATCAGTTATCTTACGGAAAATAAGATTTCTGCAGTTACTTCTTTGAATATACTAACATATGGAAAATTGTTAACATGCTGTCTAAGACTGTTGCGTCCAGCTTTTATGCTGTGACATAAACAGAATGCCAAGGATATGTTTTCTTTTTCTGCAAAGGAAGGACTGATCAGGTTTTGTTCTCAGGGGCTTACTGTGAATTTGGCACAGGGTTCACTTCTGCGCTTAAATGCCTCGGTAGCTTTCCTAAGTTACACAGCAATTTAAAGGACAGTAATAGAAAAAGTAAAGTCTTTCTAACAAGAAAACTTGTTTCATTAGTGCTTGTGAGCCAAACTGTAATCTTTGCTGCATTCATTAGTGCTGCTGGGTTAGTGCTATGTGTTACTACGATAATTCATGCACAGAAATAGGACATCTTTGCTATTTTATATCCCGGAAGGCAGAGACTGGGCACAGATGTTCTCATCTTAATTTAGCTTTTAAACTTATTTTATTACATAACTGTAAAATCTTGTGTGAATCACCATATCCTAATAGAGATTACTTTTTCTTCTACAAAACCCTCAAAAAATGAAAGGAGGTGGTGTAACATAGGTTAGGGTTTGTCAGTGCTCTGTGGGGTTTTTGGGTTGTTTACTGGGAAGTTTGCTCAGCAGCAAACTTACAGTTGTAAGAGCAGTTTTCCTGAAGTTCAATCCTTCAAATTCAGCTGGGGACTTGAGGTGAGCCTAGATTCTTTTGCATATGCCATTCGTGTAATCTGCAACTTAGCCTTTCAAAGCTACTGAGGAAATAGAGCTGTAGCATCAGTACAGCTGAAACAAACAAGGTTCCTTGTAGTTTTCATGCATCAATAAAATATTAGCTCTGAAGTTTTAAGTAACTAAATCTGTGAACATTTTGTGTCTTCAGTTGTAGTGTCAGTTGCTTACAAATGTACCATTTTCAGCAGAGGTGTGTGTGTATTAGTGTATTGTTTGTAAGTGTCTCTTGCTTTGTTGTCATTCTTTCAAAGCTCTTTAAGTCTTCCTTATGATGTGAATAGACTTTGACACCCTTATTAAAAAAAAAAAGAGGGTAGATTTAGATTAGATATAAGGAGGAAATTCTTCACTCTGAGACTGATGAGGCACTGGCACAGGTTGCACAGAGAAACTGTGGCTGCCCCATCCCTGGCCGTGTTCAAGGCCAGGTTGGATGAGACTTTTGAGTAACCTGATCTAGTAGAAGGTGTCCCTGCCCATAGCAAGGGGGGTTGGAACTAAATGAGCTTTAAGGTCCCTGCCAGCCCAGCGCAGTCTGTGATTCCATGAAACAGCAAGTTTGCCCGCTTTACATTAGTAAACCATCCACAGTGCTGCTGTTGTCTAACTAACTTAAAGCAATACTTGGAATTTGTCAAACATCTATAAATGTATTCATTGCGTTGAATAGACATTTATTTTGAGATAGAAAAACTTTGTGAATGCTTGGTGGCTTAAAATTATTTGATTAAATCACAACTGCAGAGAAGTTTTATCAGGCTTCTATGTGTAAAGGTACTGTCTAATTTTTTTCTTCTCCCTACTCCTTTCCCACACTTTACAGTTTGCTTTGGAAGAACACTGCTGGAACGTGTTGGTATTGAGAATATGAAGACCTGGGCTGAAGTAAATCGAGGTGCCATTATTCTTTGTTGGTACGTAAGGCACATGGCTATTTCTGATTAGGTTCCAGTGTTACTTTCCTGAACAGCTAAGAAAACATTAGATGAAATTTCTGTCAGCAAAGTACCATTTTTAATTCAGTATGTACTGTCTTTCATCCCACTGCTAAGTCTGCAGTGGAACAGGGTAGGAAAATTCAAACCAGAGTTTCCATAGGTTCCTTGAATTCAGGCTTTTACAGTACTAGGAAGTAGCTCAGTGTTGGAAGATCTTAAAAGATTTGATTTAATCTTAAAGATTAAAAATCTAATATATTTTAAAAATTGTGCCTGTAAGTCTTGTTTTACAAACACAAAATTCTCAAAAAAGCAGTCCACAAATAGCTAATTAAAGTAATTAACTCTGAAATAACTGACTGGCAGCAGCATGCAATTTTTTATTTTTTTTTGGGGGGAGGATGGGAGTTTTTGGTCGCTTACTCATGTGTGTTGATGCCTTAATTATGGAGCTAAGTATGTCTCATACTGAAGTAGAAAAGTGTTTGAAATAGACTATACAAAAGAACAGATCGTGCAAAGGCTTGTGGTGAGCTGACTTGCTCACAACTTTTAAGCAGAGAACTGTGCAACTGATGAGAGAAAAAAGACCCCACAGGAACTGGACTAATATTACTATTTAGTTTTATCAAATGTGAACAGTTGTGTTAATCATTTTGTAACTACTTGTCAGTGTCAGGTCATAGAAACCCAAGTTTTTGTCCTAACCCAAAGTGGTCTGTGTTGTAGTGCTGCTGGGTCAGCTGTACTGAGCCAAAGTCAGCAAACAATTCGAACAGACAACATGATTTTGAAAAGTAAAAACCTCGTTCTCCTTGTTTCTACCCCCCTTCTCCCTCACCGAAAGTTACTTTAGACTCCTTGCTGTTTATTTTCCATCTCTGCTCTTTATGACTTTAGTGTGAGGCTGTTTTGATGTTCATGCTCTTTCGCAAGGTGAATCAAAAGCTGTTTTCACTAATAGGACTTCTGTTAGTTAATATGAGTTTAGTTCTAACTTTGTTTGGTCATTATCATTCAGAATATTAGTACAAAGAATTGGCAGTAGAAGAGTAGCTGCAATCCAGATACAAAACCAGTTTACACAACATCGTAATAGTCATATGGATTTGGCTGTTAAGATTGTTCAGCTGCTGAAATAATAACACTCTTTGCCTCTCATAAGTCTTTAGAATTCAATAAATGCTTCTAATGCTTTTAAGTTATCTGATCCTGTGCACAGATGTTCAGTGGAGATTTGTAGTAACGGCTTGTTCACTGATAATGTACTGTACCAGTGCCTAGACTTTTTTTCCCTAACTCAAGGCTGAGCAGATTCCTTTAGCATGTGATGTTCCTGGCTTATGTATTAAGCTGTTTTGGTTGTCCAAATAAAGTTACAAAGTAAGTTAGTGGAAATAACTGCTTAGCTTCACCATGACAACAGTGTCTTAATAGGAATTGAAGACTCGTATAGGAAACAGGAAACTAGTAATTGTTTGTTAGCAAAAAACAGTACAGAAGCAGTGTTTTTTTTGTCTAAAAGTATGTGATGTTAGTCTTTCCCTGTCCTGTCTGTTGTTACTCGTGGTACTACAGAGTGGAACTTTGACAAGTGCTTTGTTGCCAAGCAGGGAAGCCTGTCTTCCAGATTGGCAGTTAAACATTTTTCACCAATACTGAAACACACCTAACAGGAAAGGGACAAAAATATGGGGGAGTAGTGAGTGTTTGTTTTGCTGTAATTTCGGTTTTAGTTTTGGTTTTTTAATTAAATCTGAATCCTTTGTAAATTGAATTTCTCTTGATGACTCTTGCCGTGACACACTTTCATTCGGGCAGCTGAGAACACACAAAGGCAGTTGCTTCTGTTCCATTTCATGTGACACCTGCTTACGTCACTAACAGTAGGAATTAACGTCATTTTTGTTTAACTGCATGCATTGAAGTCAAGACATTACCTAAATCATACAGCAGGGATAAATTTAACTTAGTTTGGTATAGATAACTGCAATATAATAAAATATATAAATATATATAAAATATATAAAAATATATAAATATTTTATTAAATAAAATAAAATATATAAATAAAATAATTATTGAGTGTAAAAAACACTCATGTAAAACCAAACAGATACTTTTGTCATGAGAGATGCAAGATCCCTCTGACAGAGGTAATTTTCAGACATTGGCAGTTCTCCTTGAAGCTATGATTGATTTTTGTTTTGCTGTTGGCTTTCAGAAGCCATCTGTCACTTTTGTGCGTATCTGAAACTTAGGATTACCTACTCCTAGAAGCCCTAGAAGATTTTTTGCTTTCTAGTAATTTATGTTTATTCAGCTTTTAGAAGCGGCTCATTGTGCGTGGTTGATATCTTAGTTACCTGGTCTCCTCTGGATGCTCTCCTTTCAGTGTCCTACGTAGCAATTTGATTTTGATTTTATTTAAAAAAAGTATTCTGGGGCTTCCTTCTGACTTAGTACAAGCTTGAAGAGGTTATGGGAGGGTTCTTTGCAGATGTTACCGTCCAGCTTAGTGTAAATAAAGTGTTGTAAGTACTAGAATGTCATGGACGCTGGTCTATTTATGTTTCTACATCTGACCTCTCCTCAGAATTTTTGGATTTCTGAATGATACATTACGTCAGGGTAGAAAATGGATAAAACATAGACTTACTGATATCCATGTCATTTCTATAACCAGCATAGTTGTGGCCTGAGAGAAGAGGCTGTGGGACTTGGGGTGGTTTAGCTGGGAGAAGGAATGGCTTTGGAGGCACTTAGCAACATCCCTCCTAGCACCACAGAAGGGCATGGAGGAGAGCTATGCTGTTTACAGCAGTGAGTGCTGTGGCTAGAGGGTGGGAGGCAGCAGTGCAAGTTGACACACAGGAGGCTCAGGCTGGAGGTAAGAAGCAGCCTTTTTGCCATGAGGGCAGCCCAGCCCAATGGTGATGGAGGTTGGGCTGTCTCCTGTATGTCAGCCCTGGAGGAGGTGAAGCCCTGAGCAGCCTTGTCTGACCCAGTGTTTGAACCCACTTTGAGCAGGAATCTGCAGTTACTTCCAGTCTGATTTATTCTGTGTTCTGTTTTCACTTGGTGTTTCGTGCTTTCTGGAAAGTTTTACATCTTTTTCTAGTAGGAGGTAATAACATCTGCCCTGAGTTATATTAGTTGTAAGGAGGTACTTTTTTCTTACATGGACAGCTTCTTTCCCTATGACATATGTGCTGACCTTTGACATCCTTGTTTATTTTCCTGTTTCTTATAGCCTTCTCCGGAGCACCGATCAAAAAGTGGCAAATACAGTCAAAAAAGGACTGAAAAAACTTGTCCCAAAGTTGAAGCTAAATAAAAATGTAAAAGGAATAGAAGCATTACTGGAGAAATTGACTTCCTAGTGTAAATGAAGCTAAAAAGACAATTTACATCAGTGCAACCAACTGAGATTTTACATCATGGTTGTTTTAAAACATGGTATATGCATTTGTAAATTAAATAATTTCTAAACCAGCTTGTCTGTTGTACTTACTCTGTGGCATATGGTAAATAGTTGTTCTCGGAGACTGAAATCTCAAGAACATTTAGGAGCTAGTGGAAGCTTAAGAACATGTTATCTAATCAAGGAGTTAAGTCTTTCCTGATAACCTACACAAAATGTTTTGAGTCTTGTTAAAATTTGCATGTATGTTGTTCTAATCACCATGTGAACATAGCATCTGTGCTGGAGGTGCTGTGTACTGGGCAAATAAATACACTTTTTCTTAATCCCTTTCCCTTCTGGTTTCCTCAGAAAGCAAAACAGAAAAACAGCTCAAGTCCCATTCTTACCCTGTGAAGGAGTGATGGAGGGTCTCATCTTTCAGGAACTAACAAGAATAGAATGAAAATAGTCTCTCTGACTTTTTACAAAGAAGGTCCTGAAGGAGAGGCTAACTGTTCCAATGGACCATAATTTGGTTTAATTTTTCTGTACTTCTGAAAAGTACAGACATTTAAGTCCTAATAAACCGGAGGGATTTGGGGTTTTTCTGGTGTCTTCCTTATAATAGGGATGAGATGAATTTACTTCTGCATGATATCAAATAGATGTTCCATTAATTTCTACTGTACCGTATTTTTCACAGAAAAATCAAGCCAGTATTTTATTTTCTTATTCTAAGCAAAGGGGGAAAACAAAACAAATAAACCCAAACCTTTCTTGGTAAGGCATTCATACAACACACTGGTGGTGTTTATTGCCATGATGATAGACTGAGCCAGAGGACCAGATTAATTCAGTCTTAACTGAGGAATCACTGTTTACTGTTGCTGCATTTTTTTAATAGCAGATAGGCATTATTTTCCCCTAAAATGCAGCTCCCTTAACAAAGTACAATGCAACTTATCGGAAGTTGTCAGTGGGTAAGTACACTGGCTTAAGTTTCTGTATTTTACGTACCTCAGGTTAGACTCCTAAATTACTGAGTTTATTGTCAGAAGTCATGATACAACTACTGCAGTCCATTAGGAACTCGAGCAGTGCTCGGAGCCCAGGAAAATCAGATTACCCAGAAAGACTGAGACTTGCATGCTTAGCATGAGGTAAAATAAGCTGGTTATCTAGGGAGCACCTGTATGGATGCAGGTTCTGAAGTCAAGTGCATTTTTTAGATTTGTATGTTTAAATAGTTTATCCAAAGCAATAAAATGCATTGTTTCATCTTAAGTATTTTGTTTTTCACTGGTCCTGTCTAAGGGGAATATTATTTATTATAAAAAATGACAAGATACTTGAATAGGCAATTTAAAAAAACATAAATGTAAACCCAATTGTAATTCGAGGTTAATTTAGGTTAATTTAAGCAAAATGTGAAGGTTATAGTTAGAGGTGTTTCAAACGTTGTTAGGTTTTATTTGCATCTGTGGATTTACTGGTAGTTTGCTGACTGTGCTTCCCTCTTAATTCCACCTAATCTGATGACTAGTGGTAAATACTTGAAGGTTAATCTCAATTAGACCTGATTGGCACTGGCTTAAGTGTTCATGCTTGTCAACACATCCTCTCAGCTACTGAAGGCTGCAGCTCATTAGTTTCTGTAACAGGATTTTTATCTGTGACAATAAAACTGATCATTTTAATTAGCAATAGATAATGAATTTAAACTGTAGTGAACTGTTGCTAAAGAATTCTTAGTTACTGCCAAAAAACCTGAATCTGAATGAACTATACAACAGATTTGTGACTGAATAATTAGTAGTAGAGTGAGACATTGGGGGGGTGGGGAGGGGCGGAATCTGATGCAGCAGTTCTCAATTTTGACATTACTGGGGGAATAAACAGACTAGTGCTTAGAATCTGGGAGAAGGCATATTTCCAGTTGAGAATTAAAGGGGGCAGTAAAAGTTAAGTCATAGCTGAAGATAGATGTTAACAAACTAAATAGCGAAGAGCTATGTAAGAATGTCTAGATCTGACTTAATGCTTTGATTGTGTAATGCTGGTTGCTTTAAATTAAAGCCTACAAGCCAGTTTATTTTCATCTTTGTAACTGTGTATATGATTTGGTTTTAATTGCGTGTAGTAATTTAGAGTGACTGACTAGTAATTTTCCTTACCACAGTTGAGAAGTGCTGCTCTTGATTGGGTAGTCATTAGTTAAGGTTATACTAAAGATGCTGTTTTCCTTCCGTGGACAGAACAAAAATTTTAGTGTCCAGATATGTCTAATGTCAGCTGAAATCAAATTCTGAAGTAGCCTAATGGAAGGAGAGGAAAAGGAGGTTGTGGCGGGTGCTAAAGACCGTTTTCAGTGGCTTAAGGTTCTTCATAGAGTGGATGCTTTTTCCCACTGAAGAAGCTGGCTGCATGCAGTACCATTTCTGCCCCAGTCTACTCTGTGACTGTATGAAGGCTAAGAGAGAAGTTGTTTGGAAGGCTCTGCAGCAAAAGTATTTTTTCAGGTTTTGTTTTTATTTTTTGAAATGCACTTGGCAAGGACTCCTGACTACTTCAGATTATCCAAACTCCTCAAATTGTTGCTAGCATCTTAGTATAGCTAGCAGTATTTTTTTAATTGCAAAGACAATAATGGAAGTGCACATGCAGCAAGTAACTGTATGTCTGCCACTTGTGCAAAGGAGAGGCTGTTCCAGGAATTATGGGCGGTCTAGCGGTTGTCCAGATGTGAAATTAAAGTCCCGTTGGCCTTCCAGAGCCACCACCTCTCTTTTTCACTTCATGTAGCAGAAGTTGCAAGTTGAACCACCAGTGTTTAATCGTTGTGAATGCTAGGACAATCTACAACAGAAAGAGTAGTGATAGTTGTTTTATTTTGGGTTCTTGGAATACATAGGACCCAGTACCTTGGTAATAGTGTATTTTCCATTATTTGGAATAGGGATATATAGGTAGGTGCTGTTGCAACTTAATACCTCTTAGTTTAAGGTAAAAAGGACCAGCTTTCTTTGCTGCTGACAGCAGGATCTACTAAGAACAAGCAGTGTTTCTCTTTTCCAGTGACTCTCAGTGAGTGAGTTAGATGGAGACTGGGTGCCGCAACACCTGCTATTAAGTCATCTTCATAGCCATGGCATGATGATAGCACCAGTTATGGCAGTCAAAATCATGCTTTTTGTTGAAATGCTGCTTCAGGTGCACTTCAGGTGTCTGCCATTAGTCGTGCTTTGTCCTTTAATGTTGATATGTTGCACTAAGGGAAAATGTGTGCGCGCATTTTCTGCTCTCACGCAGCATGGTGCTGCTCAGACTGCAATTGCTGCGGTGGGTAGGCCTTACTAGCAAGTAGCTTGCACCAAGTCATGATACCTAGGAGGCTTTTATTTGTTGCTGTTGTTTTGAACTGGTTTCCCGTATAAAGGTGTGGGAGTTTGGTTTTTTATAGTGAAAATGAACTGAAACAAGCAATGTAACAGTTTCATTATACCAAGCTTGCTTGGTATTAGATTGTTTTCTTCATCATAATTAGACGTATTAGAGGTATTAGAGGTATTAGATTGTTTTCTTCATCATAATAGAAATCAAAGGGTATGAATTAAGCCCAGACTTTTTCTTGTCAACAGCAAAGTACTGTGTTAGCACTGGACTGACCACTCTTTTACTCAGGATTCTATGATTGTCCATGAACAGTAATCATATTTATACACAAAAATTTGTTTTCAGGCAGGTATGCAAAGTGCCTTAGGATAAGGCACTAGCGTAATGAATCTGCATTTGTAATGGTGAACTTTATCACAGGAAGTGAATCTGACTCGTTTGGAAGGTGAATTTTGTGGTAGAATTTTAATAAAGAGGATGTGACAGTCTGTGCAGAGAGAAGGACATGGAGAAGGCAGGCATGTAAGGAAACGATCTCCCGTGCTGTATGAATAAGCTAAAGCTGTAAGAAAGCAGGTATTTGCAGATTTCTGAGGGGGAAGGGACTGCGAAAAAAGATCTAATTGCAGAAGGCAAGATGCCTTTGAAAAGCATTGTTGAAGTGAATTCCAGTGGGATAATACAAGTGTTAACAGCAGTATTACAGCTGTGTAAGAGCAGTGGAAGCCTATGGAAAGAGGTAAAGCACGAATGGTATGCTTACAACTGTGTGCACCTTCCTCTCTCCTCCTCCAGCCCCTCAGGTGGTCTAATAAATGTGGTTTTGAATCCAGCAACTTGCCTGCTGCAGTGTGGGTCAGTAGTGGGTTTCCTTCTGCGTCTGAGGAGATGTCGTGTACCTTTTTAGAGCAGCTCTGGCAGTAGTCAGGCTATTCGCTAAGCTGATTGAGTTCACAAAACTGTTAGAGATTTTGTGTGTGGTGGTGCTGATTATTTTCTATTAGTGAGCTGGTAAGATTCACTAAACAAAGGGGAACCCGCTTGAACACCAGAGCACAAGCCAAGAGGCAGCGTAACATGGTAAGCCAGTGAGAAGTCTGACATTAGCCAGGAGCAGATCTTCCCTTTGCCGGTGATCAAACTGATCTTTCAGGTTGGCTGAGCTGCATGATCAAATATTTGTATTTCAAATTTGTGTATAAAATGGCACTGTTCTTTGTTCAGCGTGTGGAGATTTAGAGGAACATGCATTGTACTGCATGGAAAAATACACCCCGAAAATCAGCATTATTTTAAGCCTGCCATGCTTCAAAGTGGAATGACGTTTTGTTGACACCTGTCTTTATTTCTCATGTTAAATCTTATCAGTAAAGGCATGGACAGTACTCCCTATTCATCTATACCAATCAACTGAATCAACATTTAAGGTTTCTTGAGCTTTCTTGTTCCCTGGCTAATTTTCTGGTGTTAAGTGGTTATATTTTTGTTTACTTTAACTGTTCTAGAAATAAACAGACCAAGCATTAAACATATCCTGACGGCATCTAGATCTGCCTAGAGTCACTTCTCTAGGGTTTTGTGGGGATTTTTGGTAGTGACTTTCAGGAAACATTTTAGGCATCAGAGCTTTTAGAAACAAAAGGAATTGGGAAATCTCCAGTGTAGTTAATGTAGTACTAGATTGAAGATTCATTTA